TCGTTAGTACACTGTTAAATAATTAAACTTTAAAACATAACATATTTAGTACTCGGGAAGAGAGAAATGGACATGTTATTTTTATCAGCTATACATTTACACATCCTTAACTTACTTGGGGATAACTCTAAACGTTTTCAAAGGAAAGATCAATTGGACAACTCGGATTGTTTTTATATATTTTAATGCAAGAATGCAATACCCCGGAAAAACATTTCTAATGGATGACACAATAAAAAAAAACTTTAAGCATGACAACACAAGGACACTTGATAGTGTAAGGGTCAGGTTTCAAAATGTAATATGGTCAAAAAAGCAACACAAGGAGGGACGAAAAATGAAAACGCAAGCCGTTTTTTGTCTGTAAGCACTTCTTAACATTGTGTCAAAGTTTCGAGCCGTCAAATCAATAAATCTGATGGAGGGATACATTAATGCAAAAAAAGGGAACAAATAAGCTCTTCATTAAAAGTTCTTTCAAGTGCATTTTTAAATTAATCATCATTCCACTACTTCTGAGACATTATATTAAAATATTTGTTATGCTGATTCAGTAGTTATATTCTTGTTTATGGCACATGCAAAAAAACAACAACACAGTAGTCTTTCTAATCAATGTTTCATTGTCTTTTGCCGTCGTTACATTATGTATGTGATGTGCTTTAAGATTTATCATACAAATGTAAAAATGGAGGCCACGTGAATCCTGGGAGAAAAAGGCATATTTCTCAAAATGATGTACTGTGTCATGTTTTTCAAGGTGTCAATTATGCACCATCAATACTGCCGACATTAGTCTAATTAGTCTCGATCATCAAGATATCAAAATGATGTCTACAATGATTAATACATGTTTATAAATGCTATTGACAGCACCTTTAATCAACAGTTATTTGTGACGGATGTTGGTGGAATAAGTAACTGAAGATCAACCTTCAACTTCAGCTGATACTCAGCAGCTCCACCTCAAAGATGAGAGTGGAATTTCCTGGGATGACGGGCGGGAATCCTCTTGCTCCGTACGCGTAGTCCGACGAGCACGTCAACCGGGCCATCTGGCCGACGCTCATCTGTCAAATAAAGGAAGAGCGAGTTACATAAAAGTGAACAATATGGTGTGATGTAAAAAGGGGGATTCGTATATTTGTCATCTCTGTTGAGGAACCAAAAGCTCCAAAAACACTGCATTCTAAAATTCCCACAGTGCAAATCAATTATTTGGTTAACCCTCTTGACTGAATCACGTACATATTTTCCTCTTCTGCCCCCATTTTGTTACTTGTGCTTTGACAGGAAAGCTACTTCAGTCCCAGAACACATTCAACCATTTGCACTGCGTAGTTCATATAAAATTAATTTGTGGCGGCTTGCAAAAAAAAGGGTTATGCTCAGTTAAGAATAATATGAGGGTGATATTTGGCAATATCAGCTGTTATGAATACATGAATAGTTAAACCGTGGCACCTGCTGCAGATTACAGGCTGTCACATGTGTAGCCAACACTTTCTCTTAGCAAATGTAATGGCCCAAAAGAAGACTACAAACTGAGCGGAGTACTGAGCTTGTGTTTATAAGGAGATATTATATCTGGTAAGGTGGAAGTTGACAGATAAGAGAGCAGGTTTTACTGTGTTCAGTTAGTGTCTACTTGCTGGGTAGCTAACACAAGCTAGTTAGCTGTCTGCAGATATCAGAATGATTAAGCGCAGAAACAGCTGAATTAATGAGCTGACTTTTCTGCTTTCAGCTATGTTACAACTGATTTAACCATAAAGGATGTCAGTGGTCAGTTTGAAAAACCTTAGGCAACAACAGTTCACAGCTGTATGGAATAACCAACGTCTTAATATGAATTACCATGACATGAACTGCAGGTGGCACAGGTTTATAGCTTAAATGCCTTGCAATTGTAGACATAGACAAATATTGCATTTCAGCAATGTTGGCCAGCCCCATTACAGGGCCTACCCAAAAGATGAGTGAACCATCATGAAGAGTGACATGTGTGAAGGTCTCCTCTGCCTCACCTGAGCTACACCCTCATCCCAGGCTCGGATGACCTGTCCTTGTCCAATCTTGAATTTGAAGGGCTGTCCTCGGTCCCTGGAGGAATCAAACTTGTTTCCATTTGTCAGCGTGCCTGTAACAGGAAAAACACACTTGTTAACATTACTTATTTTGCAAAGTCAAATAAAGGTAAGTTTCTCCAGCACCAAGGAGTCTGCGTATTGGGTACTTTTAATCTCGGCACTTTAAGTATATTTTTATGCTGATACCTTTTGTACTCGAGTAACATTTGCCATTCAGCACTTTTAATTGGAACTAAGTATTCGCACGTTGTGGTATACTTCTTCCTCTGGTCTATTAGCTCTGTGTGCTTTATTTTTCAATCGCATTTATACAAAACAGAAATTAAATAATTTCACATTTCACACAAACAGGCAGAATTTAAAACAGGTAAAGGAATGTTTTAAAAAAAAAAATGTAATTTATATATATATATATATACGTAGCTAAACATACAGCACGGTTAGCTTATGTTAGCCGGGGAATCAAAGGTAAGCGATACTGTTAGCTATTTATAATCGCAGACATTTAACAAACGATATATGAAGTATTAAATGACCAACATGTGGGCTTCAGATTAGCATTCTTAACTATTGACAGAGCTAGGCTAGTTGTTTGCCTGTTTCCAGTCCTTGTGCTAAGCTAAGCTAAGCGTGTGCATGCTAATATTTCCGTAACGAACAGTACGCCATTTCCACGATCTGAAGCTACACCAGCTGTTTGAGATTGTAATCGAACACAGGTTGATTTGTAAACGGGTTATATTAGCTATCATAAATAAAAGATTCACCAACTGAACAACCTTTGACCAGTCATTTTTTAATTAACGTTAGATCTTACCAACGTAGTGCACGAACACAGTCTGTCCCTTTTGCGGAAAGGTTCTTCCTGAAATGAGACACAATAAAAGGTGGTTGAAAAAAACCAAGTGAAATATATTTATTTTGTCGGGTAAATGAATAAAAATGCTACAATTCTTACCGTCTCCTGGTCTAAGGGTTTCTACTTCTACTCCCATTGTTCTTTTTTCCAAGTCGTCTTCCCCCGCTCACCGGCTTCCTGGACGAGCCCTCTGTGTTCAGTCACACGCAACCTGATTGGTGCGTTCTCTGTTGGACTGTACCATTTCTGATGTGGGTGAGAGGGCTTGCGAGCGTTTTTTTTGCTTTGAATTCTTGTGTGTGTGATAAAACATCCATGGTGTGTCTGCGTGTAAGTGGTTGTCAGAGCGTGAACAATGTGTGAGGAAGGTGTGTCTTTGAATCAAAACATAAATTATAAAAGGCATCTGGGGCGTTAGTTATACTAAGGGAAACAGCGGAACTGTGGTGTCGTCTACGTTTGTTTTTATTACTGAGAATGTCAATTAAAGCGTATCGCATGACAATGAAGAAATTCTACGTTATATCTGCATTGCATATTACCATCCGTTACTGTTGAATATTGAAAAATCGTATACAATATATTGTATTACATCAACAGCAGAGCCTCTTGCGCTGCTCCCCCTCAAAAGAAGATGCAAATGGTTTGTTCCACACCCACTGCAGACAGTTGTGGAATGTAACGTAAAGAACAACTGCGCCCATTTTTAAAAGTATAGGTTCTCCTATCCAATAAAACAGTTCAAAAATATTTGCAAACATGATCAACTCTCGCACAAATCTATAAACTATAGTGCTGGAAAATCTCGACAGATGAATGAAACGGGAAAGATGTTATAGAGGACACAAAGCACCTGTGAACAGTAGAATAAAGTAGTAAAAAGAAGGTAAATAAATATGTACATTTTAATTAAAGAAAGGGTTTCTGAAGATATGCATTTGCCACACCTCCCAAATGTCCACATTTCAATACCTGAAGCCTAATGAAGAAGGTAATTCTTACAATGTTATAATAAAACTAATAATTATAAACAATATTATTTTACCATGGTTTAGGCAGTAAAACACATACTCGATTAGTATTTAGTTTGAATATTTGTGGATGTCAATATTAAGGCCTTAAAAGGAGGTCGTCCTAATTAAAAGTAATTACTGTCCCAAATAAAGCAATTTTTTTTTTTTATATCTTATTTGAGAAAGTGTTTTCTTTTGGACAGGCTACAAACACGTGGCAATGATTGGTGTCGAGCAGCTGAAGAGTCTTGGTGTTGAGACTTCTGAGCAGGTGTGACAAAAAATATGCTGACAATTTTCCAGCCAGACGCTCTATATGGGGTTGAGCTCCATTGAGATTTAGGATCCGATGTGCACTGCCATTGACTGATTCTCTGTAATTGTTGTGCACATGAAAACAAGAAACCTGAACTTGATACCATAGTATTGTGCATGTGGAATATACCTATTAAAAATAATTATTATTATTTACATTTCTTTAATATGCAATATCAAAAAATATGAGAGTATTCATATTCAGAGATGTAACATTTGATAATGATTTGGCCCCTTTTCACGCTCGGCTCGGACCACACCCATTTTGATCTCACCCCTCTGTGTTTTGATACACAAATCCATTTGTGTTGTTATTTTTAATACTTTTCTCTATCGTTCATCTTTTTCTTGTCTTTTTTGCGAAATGTGAAAATGTTTACCTCTATGAGCCACAAACAGTTATTCAAATACAAAATACATTTACAAGAAAAATGTTAACAACTCACAGGCATCTGCAATGTTTCTAGAGGCCCTGACAATTATACAATCTTCTTTCGATAAGTAACTAGTAACTAACGATTGTGGGTAGTGGAGTGAAAAGTACAATATCTCCCTATGAAATTTAGTAAGTAAAATCTGGCCTTCAGCAAAATGAAAGTATAGTTCTGATTTTGAATTCAACTGCAGCTCTGTTAAATGTTGTGGCTCCTTCTTGCAAAGTTGCTCCGCTATTGCATTGGCCAAATCTCACACAAAAAGCTATAAACTTGAAAATTAAGCCAGTTTATTGTATCTATGTATACATTCTTACAAAACAGAGAATTGTATTTCCAGTTTCAGGCGTAAAGAAACAAATCATCATCACAATGAACAATATAATAACACTAAAAGCTTTTCAAAACATATTTTACTCAGAGTTAGTTGACTTCTCATCAACTCATCACTGCTCGTTCGACTCCTTATTCATGGAGTTATTGATCTGGACTAGGCATCAGATGCAGTCACTGTGGTGTCAGTTTCATTTGACGAGGGGTTATACAGATTGTTATAGAAGGAAAAGTCTGATTGAGTTCCATGTTCTGTGCCCTGGAGGAAAAAAAAAAAATAGATTTGTATTTAACAATCTGCGCTCCTTGAAGGATGGATAATATGTTTTATTGATACATTCTGCTACTTACTTGTATTTTGCAGTCAGAAAGGTCAAACTCAGCGTTCTGGTCAATTGTGTCTTCATTTAAAATCATCGGCTGATTCCTGAAACACACCAGCAGAAATGTCACCTGTCAAAATAAACCAGCATTATTTGGTGTTTCTTTATAAGTAAATTATGTATGTATTTAAAAACAACTCTGTACATTGTGCTATAGCGCCTGTTCTTGTTCAGCACTACGAGGAAGATGGAGATCATGACTCCAGCCAGCAGAGTCAGACCGACAGCCAGACCTGCCGACATCATGTCTGCAGACATGAAACAAGATGAAACACAACATCTGACTTCAATGTCTTTGCCAATATCGCACACGTTAACCTGTTGCGGAAAGTCTGTAACAAATGTACTACTTCCTCCTCTTTGCCTAATGTTTGCTAAGAACTACAGTGACGAATTGATATTAATAGCCTTTTTTAAATAATATTCAACTATTCTTTTGTGACATTATTTATTATTAGAGGTACATTTCAGGTGGAAAAAAAGGGTGTTACACGGGTGGTAGCGGGATTATCTGATTTCTGTGTAACAATAATCAGATATGGTTCACAAAGATAACATACAGTAGTTGGCAGGATAAACTCATGTGCAAACAAAATAAAACACATTTGTTTGACATCATGACAGCTACCAATGAGTCTTATCGTTATCTGCATCTCTTAAAGCTGATTCAAGTTGAGGAATGCCACTAAATGAGTCCGTGGGAAAGTTAAGTGTCATCCTTCCATATGAGGTGCTAACTGTGTGTTACTGTGATACATTAAAAACACGATCTGTAAACAACAATAGTAAGGTGTGCTAGGAAACAGGCACAAAGTATGAAAGACTATAATGGGATTTGTTGACAGGTTTAAAAAAAAAAAGGTTGGTTAAAAAAAAAAGGTTGGTTAATAATGCAGACATAAATGATTTGTTTATACTAATATCAATGTGTGCTAATGATTTTTGGATAAATAGTTTTTTTCTTATTTGCATTTGACATTACTTAATGGGAAAATAACACTGCAGAACATCAATTTTCCTTTCTCTTGCTGAATGTATGCCAGTTTAAGAGGGTCAAATGGGTGTCAGGTTACCATTATCATCATCAAGAGGGCCGATGGGGGGCTCTGAGTAGCAGCCGCCAGGACGGACGCTGATGTCATCAAGAGCAACGTCCCCTCCTGGATTCATCCCCCGCTGATACACAAACACAAACTGCGACAAAAAAATGTCAAAATACAAATCAGAAATGTCAGATATCACATGAGGAAAAACACTTCATTCATTTTGTTTTGTTATTTATGGGACTTTTATCTAAATATTTGTAATGAAATGTTGAACAAAATTACATCTGTTAATCACAAACAGTCAAATAAGTTTAGAAGTCAAACTCAAAGGCATCTGAAATATGACAAGATATCTCGACTAGATACTGTCAAATCTTAAAATAAAAAACTAACAAGTAACTGTAGTGGAGTAAAAAGTACATTATTTCCCTCTTAAATATAAATAAAATAGCATAAAAAGTAAAACCAGGTCTAAATTATATTATAGTTCTTGTGTAAATGTAGTTGATAACTTCCCACAGCTGGCAAATACCAAAACGTCAAACCCTGATTTTTCCCATACTAACACTACATGCATTTGTTCTGATAGATAAAACAAAAATACTTCATTACCCAGAATGCCTCATTATGTTTCACAGTCACACTGGCCTCCTTCCACCTGTCTCCCTTGTTTCCTGTCTCAATCCACTTCAGCATCCCTTCTTCGTTGCCACCTGAATGCATTGTTCTATGAGACAGGGCAGCACAAGTTAAATCATTTTAAGAGTACGGTTCATGATTTATGTTCCTCTCGTCATCAGACATAAACTGCTCGTTACCTGTCGTTTGTGTAAACTCTGAGAGTCCCAATGTGGCTGCCATACATGTGGTACCAGAATGTGAGACAGTGACCTCTGGAAGACGGCTGGAAGACGTCGCTGATCAGGAAGGAATTGTCCCCCCACTCGCCCACTGAGTTATCCACATACAGATAGTAACCTGGTGGAAAAATGACAAGATCAAAACAAATACCTGACAGAAAGTAAAGCTTATTATATAACATGATATAGTCAACATCACTTCAAACTAGTACAATCTAGAGCCAAAGCTTCCAAACTGTAATTTTTACAATTTCCACCAGACTGAGCCATTCTCACACATTTCACAAGTAGCCTACTACTGTTTTGTTTCACGCACAAAAGATAAAAATGCATTACAATGGATGTAACTAATCACTGTCATATCCTAGAATGTGAACAAATATAATCCCTCTAGCATTTTGTATACTGTAAATAATGACATTTTTGTTGGAGCAGTGAATTTCATAAAAAACAACACTGACATTATGTACTGTACAAACTGGCATTTAAAGGGTTAAGATTCTGAAAATGAATGCATATCTGGTACTTATCAGAAATTATGTTTGTTAGAAAATATGGATTGAAAATAATATTAGTTATTTGGGAATTTGTTGAGGCAGATATTTTTTTATTTTAAAGTGGACCTATCATGCTATATTTCAATAATATAGTGTAGGACCATACCTATATAAGGCATATTTATACTTTTTCTTTTCAAAATACCAAACAGATCATGCATTTTAGCCATGCCTCATTTTGCTCAATTTGACATTTTTTAGCTCTGTTTTTGCAAGGGCTGATTCAGTGAGAACAGCACCATCTACAGGCCTGGCATATGTACTACAGCGTCTCCAGCGCTTTCGAACGGCAATGGCCGTGGCTGTCTCCTCCTGATTGGTGGAGTTGGCCCAATAGCCGTAGCGCCACTGTCCTGACGTCAGGACAGTGTTCAAATCTGGATCAGTTTTTATCAGATTCGTTGCAGCCCCTTTTTTAGAGATTTGGCTATGGAGGAAAATAGAGAGGGTTGTGTTTTCTGACACTTGGTGAGTTCCCTGACACACCGGGGACACATATTCATGTATAAAAGACGTACAAAAGTGCATTTTGCATGATAGGTCCCCTTTAAGTCTAAGGACATCAGAGCAACTACTATAAAGTGAGGGGAAAGTGTTGATAATGTGCTGGGAAACTTTTAACGTTCTACTTACGCTTTAGTGAAAATGCAGACGTGATTTACAACTGAATCAAGTTTTTGCATGTTTAAATTAATTGGATTTGGTCACACAGAGGTATAGGATGTCCGTATCATTACCGTGTGTTGAGTTGGTGGTGTGGTCCACACTGGGTCCGGTGCTGGGGTTTGTGGAGGCCCCCCTGCCTCGGAGCCAGTCCTCCTGGTCCACGTCCCCTCCCAGGTTGCTCCAGCTGCACGTGTTGATTTCAAAGTCACAATGTCCCGGAGGAGGACACTGAGCGTCCGTCAGATGCACATCGTCAAAGGCCATGTCCCCCTCCTGCGTGGGGCCGGACTTCACACCTTCTATCACGATCTGAAACACAAAGCGAGGAAAATTAAACTGCTAACTGTACATTTTAATATATATAGAGCAAAATGAGAATTGGATAGGTAATTTTAGGCTTATTTGATCACATTATAGTCTCAATTTGAGACAGTTCTGGACTCGAGGCATTAAAAAAGGAACGGGAAAATGTTTAAAGTAATTTTCCTTTTTCTTTTTAAACTAATAGCATGGGCCATTAATGGGGCAGTTCACTTAATGTACCCTGTAAGGCTGGGTTTGCAAAATAAATGAATAAAAACAGTTTGTATTTCAATATAATATCAGTTTTATGTGGAGAGGTTGCGAGATATGAGACATGTAACTAAAGCTGTCAAGTAAATGTAATAAAGTAAAAGAGTACAAATGTATTAGATGCCATAACAACTAAATACTCCACTAACAGTTCAATGGTTCCAAGTTGTACTTAAGTTCACTACTTGAGTAATTTATTATACCTTCAACCATTGTCTATGAATACCACTTTTTCCCAAACCACTCTGTGTGATCAGCAGACTGTTTGGTGCAGATCTTGGTCACTCACCCTGTAAGGCTGCACCCGGGGCAGCAGTGACGCCTGAGCGAACCTCCACAGCCGGCCCTGGTCTCCTGACTGAGAGAAAATCAGAGCTTCCTTCCCTTCTTCGCTCTGCTGGTAAACATTCAGCATGCCCACTCCTCTGCCGTACATGTGGTACCACAGCTGCACACAGACCCCTTTACCTGAAGGGCCACAGGAAGGACAACCAGATCAGATGCATGAAAAACAAAAGAAATGTACACCTTGAACTGCATAGATGTCCAGATATTTTAGTTTGACTGTTGACAAAAGAAGTGATGGATCGTACTAAGTACATTTCATTAATGATAGGACAGTCACAGTCATTTTTCTTTTGAATTCAAATGTTTTACTATAAGGGATTAAGACACTGTATGTTTAATGAACTTAAAGGCAAGTTTATTGGGCATGTGCGGGATCCTATACATCCTAAAGTCAAACCCTTCAATCATATTGTATTCAAATGCATTAAATCAGGTGTTTTCTTTGTAAGACATTCAACTTAATGTTTGGTCCTGTGTGAATCATCTGTCCTGTCTGACTGTCTCACCTGCAGGGTACAGCGGTGAAGACATTTTAGCCGTCTGTCCGTGGAGGTCGTCTGTAGAGGAGGACAGGAAGTAGTAATGTCCGGTGGGGGTGTTGGTGGTGTGGTCGCTGTCCGGCCCGGTGTGGGGGTTGTGTGTGGAGCCCGTCTCTCTGACCCAGTCAGAGTCATCGTCGCTCTGCTGCTGCCAGTCACAGCTGCCCTCCTCAAAGTCACACACATCTACAAGATAATGTTTTGGGAAGCATTATAAGAGTTACTTCTGCATGGAATGATAATGGTGTTTGCACTCATTATTGCTTAAACACTGTGTATGAGACCCAGTCTAATAGGGATATTAAACATTTAACCTTTAAATGTAGTTGTGTCAAGTAGGGATGCAAAATGTATTCACATTTTATGGAAATCGCAATATGGACTAGTTTGATATTCAAATCACAAGCACAACTATATTTGTTAAAGGTTGAATATGTGTTAAAATAGCATTTTGAATGAAGTAATGTGGAGCTACAGAGTTATCCTTGCCTACAAATGGTATTTTACAGACAAAGACAAAACAAACTATAAAAGTTTCTTGTATTTTTCAAATATTATAAGAAGTATCATACAATAATTATCAGTCCCTCCACATTCGTATTGCCCAACAAAGTATCAGATACAGTAAACAAATGAGAGGTATTTATTTTGATACTTCCCTTTAGACAGTATACAAGTCTATAAGAGCCAGTAAGGAGGGAGGGAAGGTTGAGTGGATATGATTCACCGGGGAGGGGAAGGAGTTTTTGTGCCTCGACTACCTCTTTTCTAGTTATTTTACTCAGTCTTTAACATTTCGATTCACATTAAAACAAACAAATCACTGGAAATGACAGTGCAACTAAACTAACATGTTTCTTTCTGTATTTGTTTCCTGCAGCTTCAGTTGTATTACCAGAGGCGGGACATGGTCCACTGATGAGGGAGATGACATCGATCGCTATGTCTCCCGCCTCCCCCCCCACCGTCGCCTCGAGAATCACTTGGTGGACTTCCTGCAAAGTCACATGACTCCTCGCCAGCCGCCACTCGTCCCCCTGATTTCCTGATTTTTGCCACACCTACAGGAAAGACATGAGGCTGATTCACTCGTCACAATGAGGATGTGAGGATGCTTTTGCAACACCGGGGCATGCACTGAAACTGTGCAGCTTGCACTCATTATACAATGCATTAATGTCATTGTGCAACAAGGATTTCACAACTATGCAAAAAGTATAATAACAGAGAGAAAACTCAACAGGAGCAGTTGCCAATATTTCTCAATCTCACAACCGTTTAGTTTGTTAACATTGTAGTAAAGGGAAGTAAAGTAAAGTGTCCAGACTCCAACAAGTGGCCTCATCTGACCCCTGTAATCCTTAAGCTTGTTAAAACATAAAAAACTATCATTATTATTATTATTTTAAGCAAGTAAAGGTGGTATTACTTTGCTGACTGCTTGCTCTTGCAACAACATCTGCATTACTTTATTTTACTCTGTTTCGTCTTGCACTATTTTATTGTTTTTATTGTTTTATGTACTATACATACTGTATATTATGTTGCATTGTTGGAGGACCTTGGGACTTAAGTTTTCATTGCCACATCTACACTGTAGCTACAGTGCATATGACAATAAAGCCTTTACAATTGAGTGTGTTGGAGAGGCTGAAGTGGTGGACTTATAACCTTTACCAGCATTTTTTTTTAAATAGATTAGCAAACTACATTTTTGTGCATTTTATTTACCAATGTTCTCTTCAAGGGATCAGCTGTTTGCAGGAGCATCTTCAAGGATCCGACGGTAGCTCCGAACATGTGGTACCAAAATGTGAAACAGTATCCTTTGCCACCAGCAGGCGGCAGCAGCAGAGACTTCAGCTGGGCCTTATCTCCCTTCACACTTGGTGCTGAGCTCTCGATGTAAAGGTATTTCCCTGTGAAAGAACAAAAACAGTAATACATCCATAACACAATGAAAGTGTATTTGCAATGCCTTGTCACATGTTGTACAAACCAATGAGCTGTGAAGAATAATGAAATTAAAAGAAGAAAAAGAGAAGTTTAGAGGAAAGGTTTTAGAAAAGTGAAATGTGGCTATTCGAAGGCAAATTACAATTTCCTCCTCTGTAAACAGGAGAAAGAGGTGACATGATTGAGATCTACAAAATATATGATATCATATCAGACAAGCCTGTCTTCCCCTTTTGGAATAAGAGGTATGATTTAGGAGGTAAAAGTGTAAAATACATTTAAAGTGTTTCTTTGAACAAACAAAAAAAAACACTTTTTCACACTTTTTGCTGTTGAAACAGGAAACAAGCTTCCAGAGCTTCAGGCTCTTAAAACAACAGATTGTATACATTCTGATCAACAAAGAGTATTTGCTATAATTGTAAAAGCTGCCTTGTGATTATTTGTGAAATTATTGTTATTTTAAAACAAGTATTCTGTGGTATTACTTTGTTGTGCTGGTTGTTTGTTGTCGTTGTTTACCAGAATGGGATGACCAGTATGAGTGTGGTGTAACTGCTGTTAAGTGTTATTTAGTCACTCTTCTTTTCTTGTGACAGTTATTTCCCAGTGGTCACTTGTGGCCACAGCTACACTGAAAGATAAAGATCAAACAAACATACTGTAAAACTTTTCTTCCATGAATCCGGTTAACAGGTCCAATAATTATTACATTTTATTCATACTTCTATTATGGATTTGAACTCACATGCTTTAATGGTTCTTACTGGTCAGTTGCTGATCTTTGTCATTATATAATCATTATTTTTCGTGAATATTCCTCCTTATTGTTTCAAGTTGCATGCTTTATTTATATGAGGATTGTAATTGTGCTTACTTATGTCTATCTTTTACCTTTGCACTATCCATAGTGTTTGTAGCTGCAGCACATTTAGCGTAATGTTTATCTTGCTTGCTGCAAAGGAACATTTCTCAACACAGCCAATGCTGTACTTCCTGTATTAAATGTAACTGAGAAGTAATACAAATACTCTCTAGTTATTTGTATGTTTTAGGAGACTGAAGTTAAAGTGACCTGTGCTGGTAGAGTGGTCTCCTGTGGGCCCGGTGTTGGGGGTCTCGGTTGGACCCGTCCTGCTGAGCCAGTCCAACTCGTCCTCAGCGCCCTGAACCCAAACACACAGCCCGTCTTCGAAAGAGCAGCCACAGGCAGACAGAGCTGAGGAGGGAGACGTGGTTTTATTAGGAGCCACATTTCAAAGTATACAATCTGTGAATTATCCCTAGTACTGATGTCCAATTCATTCACATGCAATTCAGATGGGAACCTTACACACCTGGTGGTTTGTAGGATTTTTCACAGTTTAGAAAAGAGATATCATCCACAGCAACAACGTGATCTCCAGCAGTAGTTTCCGTCTGAGTCACTTTATTCACGCTACTGAACCAAACCTGAAAGAGAAATGGTTCCATTCATGCTTTTGAACGATTGTTGTCCTTAACAACAAAGAAAACTACACTTAAACACCCTGCACATGGACATATTTTGGAAAATGTAAAGTAGTTCCTAACATTTACCCACAATCCTCACCCTCATAAAGTGATATTGACATCCCCTACTCTTTCACTGTTTTGTTAATCATTTCCTTTCCCTAATTTTTTTAAATACACTCACTTGCCAGTTCATTTGGTACACAAGTCAAAGACAGTCCAAAATATAAATAGGTGTTGAATTGGATTGAGATGCGATATCCTAATCATTTTTTTCTGGATGGAAGCTTTTGTATCCATGGTGTTTACGTGATTTTGTTTTTCTTTAAGGGGAGATACTACAGGTATATAGGGTCAACTAAAGTCTACTCTACATGACCAAACCAGTTCCCAGTTCCTCAGTTAATTACTAACACCTAGACAATTCGTTTTTGTATTACAAGTTTTCAGAAATGTGATTTTTAGTTATGCAAATAATGCATTATTCATTGATATTCATTGCATATTCAATGCAAATAGACAATTAACTAAAATAAAAACCTAAATGTGTACTCGTTCTTTTGCACTAGTTTGAGGAAGACTCAAAATCCAGAAAAAAATAATATTTTTGCCTGCAGTTTCCCGCCTTAATATGTCACTTGTCTGTACGCCCCTCTTGTTTGGATTAAAACATAATGAATCTGTTAGATTTAGGATACACAGTTGCACACCTTATAGGTCTGGGGGCTCAGGCCTACGGGCAGATGCTCTGGGGTCCAATGGGAGACAGTGTTTTGACTGCGTGACCACAGGATTGCTTCACTCCCCTCAGCTTGCTGCATAAGCACTCTGAGTGACCCAGCACTCTCTGCGCGGATGTGGAAGTGAAACCTGCGTTAAGGAAAGAAGGAAGTTAGAAGGGGAGAGTGTTGGATTGGGAAGAGGGTTGCGTGGTAGAAAGACGAGGGCGGTGGAGAGTGTTGAGCAATTCATACTTTATATTTTCAACACTAACAAAGAACATATTTTACAGATACTAGGAAGGTTAATGTTGTGGCTATTAGTGTCACTTACAGAATCTGGCAGAAGGGAGATGCAGGGGGGAGTGGGGGACTCTGGAGTCGGGCTTCACTCTGAGTGGACCCCTGACTTAAATTCACACTCATGTAGTAGCCTGAGAACAAGGAAAAACAACAAAATAAATAAAGTAGACCCCTTAACATGCTGAGTGTAGTTATGAGGATTTCTAAGCAATGTTTTCCCTAAAGATCTGGTCCTTTGGGTCTATTCACATTAACATAATTGAAGCTAATAATGAAGCAACCTGTGTCTGTAGTGTGATCAGTCGGCGGCTCGGTGTTGTTACTGGCTTCCTGTCTCCGCCACATCATCTGTCCTTCACTGGTGTCCGTCCATCGGCATTGGTCGCTCTCAAATGTGCACCCACCTAAAAGTTAAAGACAAGGCGTGAGTAATACTGCTGGGAAACAATGGAGGCGAAAAACTGGTTCATGATTCACATGTTTTTGAAAATAAGTATTAAAATAGTCTGCTTTTGTAACATCAACAGTTTGTTGCTAACATTATATAATCCCGACCTATTACTAAATCTTGTGGTAGGTTGACTTTTGTTAAAGTGAAAAGTCATTTTCCTTTAAATTAAACACTGCCAGATTTGGCCACTCGACTGTCATCAGAACTTGCATATACCTTACACATACAAATATATTTTGGTGAAAACAAGAAGTGTTTTGAGATTGGGGTTACATCAGCATCATGTAAATAATGTCTTAAAAAATACATGTATTAAAAAAAAAAAAAAAGGTTTCAGCTTCCTTATCATTGTCTTATTGTGCAATACTGTACAATCAGCATGAAAACATATTCTTTCTGAAATCATGATCACATGACAACTTTTATGCATATTCATTTTGACCCACATGCTCAAATTATTTCTCCCCGCTAAAACGAATGCGACAGAGTTACCATCCTGATTTTACTTTCTAGCAGCCTGCTAATGGATCTAGGAAAATCTAAGATGTCATTTCCTTTTTTGTAAGATATTGTATTCTGCAAATAAAATGGTAGAAGCATTTGTCTGTGCATGCAACAGACAGCTCACCACAGCCATCCTCGTCCTCTCCCTGCGGGCAGTCTGCATGATAATCACACTTTAAAGAAGCCAGGATACAAACATCTGACCGCCAACAGAAGAACTCATTACCCTGCAACACAGAGAAAGAAAACAGCTCTGGATTATATTCCACAGGACTACAGTTTTATGTTTCACAATAGGAGCTTATTATTTAAAGTATTACCTGACAGGGGAGGGTTGTTGCAGGAGAGGTGGAGGTTGGAGGAGTCGGTGTGTTAGAGGGTGTAGGGGGGGCAGAGGTGGGGGGTGTGTCAGGCAGTTTGTTGTTGTCAGGGTCAAATTCACACTCCCTGGAGAAAGAGATGTCGTCCAGCGCAACCATCCCCCTGATCCCATCACCTCGCTCATATCTGAAGACAAGCTGAGAAGTAGAGGAGGAGACACTCTTAAAAAAAACCTAGAAGCTATTAGGTTTTTTTAGACACTTTGGATCTTAGAGGAGCTCAAATATATTGATATTGTTTAAGTCAAAACCCATATTTCAAGCCAGGCTTTTATGTAATTTAATTGTGTAGTGTCAATTCCCTCTTTCAAACATGTCCTCATTTGACCCATTGTTCACATTAAATATTGAATAGCTTTAAAAAATATATATTTCATCTTTGTGATCTCTTATGATTGATACAAATAAGAGAATTATTCATAAAGTAGGCCTTGGCTGTCATTGACTGAATTGTGTGCGTCTTTACTGACCTTGCTAATAGACAAAGTGGAGAACGTGACCTCTGCTCTCTGCCAGCTGTAGCTCTGGGAGTTTTCTCCGAGCCACAACACAGCGTCGTCTCTCCCAGAGCGAAGTGTGCGGCCCCGGGCTGTCAGTTGGCCTGCAGCCAGGCTGAAGAAGAAGAATCTCACCTGCACGGATACAACACGAGGCCTCAAAGTGAGCGGACGTACATAAAAGAGGCCATGCTGTGCTTTAAAAACAATAAATCCATTACTTTTATCTAAATAATCTTAACTATCTCATGAACTGTGATCAACCTGCAATAGTGCAGCAATTACTGCAATTACTTTAGATCAGATTAAGCATTTGATAATAAAAGCTATGCACACTCTGCAGATACAGACATTGCCAAACAATTGAGTAATGTTTGATTACTTAGTGTTTCTTGGGGAAATCCTGCTCATTATGCCTTTTTATTTAGATTTATCATTAGGTTTTACATTTTAATTCCTATATTTAGTTTATAACAAAATATCGGTAAAACTTATGCAACTCCAACCAGCCTAATGTGTACTGTGTGTTGAGTGCTAATGACCAAATGTTAGCATGCTTTAAAAAAAAAAGTTGTATTACTACATCTACTGTATATGCATTTTGTCAGCGTGTCAGGATGGCACTCATATCAACCTTTACACAGTTAGTCACCTCTTTCATTTTGATATTATATTACATGCACCCTTGAATACTCACAGTGCAGTTGGAGCTGGGTCGTAAAGTTTTGGAGAGAATCTCTGTCGTCTGATTAGTCAGCTCAGCCCCAGGGATGACATAGTGACCTGTATAATGATGAAATAAGAAAATACAATAGTAAGTTAAAGCACAGAATTACTTTTTACAGTAGTAAACTGAATAAATGACGAATTTTCCATCTAGTGAGTTATTCAGTCAAAGCCCATGACCTAAATGCCAGCAGCTCAGAGAGTGATATACCTGCATCAGAGTTTTTGGTGTGATCCCTCGGAGGCCCGTGAATGGGCCAGGCTTCCTCTCCTTTGCGCTGCGTCCAATCAGCTCCTGCCGTGTCCACGTCACTTTGCTCCCAGAAACACAGGCCTTGTTCAAAGCTGCAGCGCTCCAAAACACCTTGTTGTTCTACATTTTGCATTATTTTCAGGTAAAAGGGAGTGAGAGGTAGACAAGTTGAAAACTGCTCCGGGAGAAAATAAATCTGTGAATGTGTAGAGCTTGTTCTTATTGATGAATCTATTATTTTGTAACTCTGAAAAACCATCAGAAAAAAGTAGAAAATGCCATGAAAGGTGACATCTTTACATTTCTTGTTATGTAAGACAGTCAAAAAAAGGAAAGCAGCACATTTCTAAGATTTGAGAAGCTGAAACCAGTAGATGTTGTTCAGTTATGGTAAAAAAAATTAATATACGCTATTATAAAAACAAACAGCTTCCAATGAATTTTCTGTCCATCCAATAATTACCTAATCATTGCAGCTCTATGATTGTGTAATGCATTTGTATACAGCACGCCACACTTGCACACAGATAATTCACATCACATACTTTTATATATTTCTACTTACTACCTACTAAAATATATACAATAATGTATAAATACATTTATCTCACTTATACGGTAAGAACTGAACTCCTAAATATTTAACGGATGTTATGAAACAGTGTTCAGGACAAGGGGAAGTACACAGGGAGTGTCTCTGTGACTTGATGAATCAACCATAACAGTATATGTTAAGTGGCCTTGTGCACTCTTGCTCTTTTGCACTTTTTGCATATCATGTATTTGTTTTTGCAATGTTTGTAAAATGTCATTTTCTTAAATGTTTTATGTGAGGGACTGTGGATGGAAATTAGCTCAAAGCTAAATCTGGCATATTTATGCTTGACACATTTTATTGTTTTAACTGTTCATTGATGTGCATTGTCCCTGCTAAATAAACGATTAAATAAATAAAATATTCAGTATTTTTAACATATTTTGTAACCTTAAAACATTTGTGATGTCTCACCACAGTTGTTCTCATCAGACCGGTCCCCACAGTCATCGCTGAAGTCACACACTTGGTTGAGCCCGACACACACACTGTTGTTGCACGTAAACATATTCTCTGGACACGAGGGCTGGGGCTCTGAGAAAACCAAACGTATTTCAAGAATCAGCTTGAGAAGAAAAGAAGACAGCTGAAATAAAGTGTGTGTGCCGGTACAGCAGGTCACCTACCAGGCAGGGAGCAGTTGGTGAAATCTATGTCATCGATGGCCATGTGTCCGGGCCGGTTGAAGGTCCTCGAGGCTTCAAACAGGATGGTGAAGGCCACCGGGATTCGACCAACCGTTACCTCACCGTGACGCCACACATCGCCATAGTTACCAGACAGCCACCACAGTGCGGTAGTTCTGGAGCCGTCGTGCAGCAGCACCTTCAGCCCCTCCATGTCTGTACCAATGAGAAGAGTTCGAGTTACTATGAGGAGAATGGTAGCCAGTTAAAGGGTAGACATTTCCTTTAAGAATATATTTTTTGGTTTTGGCAAATACTGGGGCAAGATCAACAAAGAAAGAACAGACAATTATAACAAAAGAAAGTTAAAGAACAGGCATTGCAAAGCTTTCTGTAATACTGAGTGTGATGACCAACAGGCACTAGTAAACATATTCAAGACCTTGACTTCAAGTATGTGTAGAAAGTTTTGAATAGCAATACTGACTTTGGGTAAGCTAAGCATTGCAAGGCTATGCAACCTGCAACCCGCATAAAGTGTATAACAAAAAATACACTTTATATATGTGTCCTCATATCATCTGCTCCCAAAAGAAATGTAGGCGCTAGTCAGATGATGACCTAATGACACAAAGTGAGGGTTCACAGCCTAAATAAAAGTTCCTTGTAGTTTATTTTAAACATACCTTCTCCAAACATGTTGTAATAGAAGTGTAGTGTGCATGTGGCGCTGGCCTCGTTCATGATGGGACTCTGCACAGCAGCAGGGGTCATTTCAGCTCCCTGGTCCGGCTCCAAGGCCATGTACCAACCTGGCATAAACAGATAAGAACCCAGAGAGTTTTATTATAGAATAATCTTTCTACACACAGTCAGCAGCAGCAGTCAGTTTAAATTGAGTTTTGTATACAATGCAGGAAGTCCTTAGATGTTCTCTGGACTGATTATATATTTTTGCCCTTCTTTATTGTCTTTTCAGAGCTTAGGGCATTTTATTTTAGGTGTGATAGCAGTTGACCTAACACCATTATCCTGAATTCATAAACAGTATATTTTATTTATAATTTCCATTAAAATCAAGGAATCCAAGCCAGAACAAAAACAGGATGGGGATGTAGAAGCTGTGGCTAAACCTAAAGCCGACAATGCAACCATAACTTTTGAAAAAGAGGAAATATATTCTGCTTATTCAGCCTTTTCTTCCCCTTGTCAAAATACATCTTTGCAGGGTTGTAACTATGATGTGTTATTATATGAAGGGAAATCCAGATTGATACACATTATGTTAGCTTTTTTATGGAATCCAAAGTCCAGAGCATCACAAATGTTGGTAACCTCATTGCTCTGCCTTTTATTGCCGTTAGTGGCCTTCACACTAGATCCAGATGCAGAAGCAGAATGAGAGGAGGCTCACCCAGTTCAGAGCCCACTGTGTTGTCCACGGAGGGTCCAGTGTTCCCAGTAGCATTCCTTGTTCTCGTCCACTGACACTGGCCTGCACTGATGTCCTCCCAGCCACATGTGCCGTTTTCAAATGAGCAACCCACAAATCCCAAACCTGTCTCATTCACTAAAATAAAAAATAAAAAATGTGTTTATTATTTATTGAATTATCATCAGACATATTGGCATAAAGAAACTTGAAAAGCTCCCTTACAGTCAAGATGCACAACTTTAGTGGATCATAAAATATCAAGCATTGAATTATTGCAGTCTTAAGTTGCTCCTACTTTTATATGGATGTCGGTTTCAAACCACAGCAAAGGCCAAAATGTTACCCGAAACACACTAGGTAAGATTATTTTTTTAGCCAAGCTGCTTGCCAGGAATGCCTATTGCTACCTAAGCAGCTGTTGAACATCTGAGGTTCCGGTCACTTCAGAGAATGTGTAGTCAGCAGTCAATGACAATATAAAACAGTCCATTATATATATAGATTTCTCAGAAATACTTAGGCACTGGAATCATGAGAATTTACAGTCATTAATGTGGACAGATTAGATTAGGCTGATGGATCCGGTGATACACAAGATTAGCCGCTGATAGGCAGATAGACACCTTCTAAAATTACCCCTGGTGTATATAGTACATATTGAAATAAAAAAGCAATATCAGTACCTTGACAAAGGCCTGGTGTGACAGTGATATCATCGATGGCAATAAATCCTCTGTTAGTCTCTGCTTCGATCAGCAGCTGAACATGAGGTTGTTGAGAGAAGCAGGGAAAATATTTGCTTAAATATCCCGTCATTCTCTTATTGTTTATTGATGTCTACCACTCTGTTATATTACCTGGAAAGGTTTCGTCCTCTCTAAAGATTGAGAGAACTTGGTCCAGCCGTGTCCACTGCTGTTACTGTTGAACATCGGTTTCTCCTCCGATGGCCCTGAACGCATCAACACCTTCAACGTCCCCGAGGCACTGACAAACAACAGAGTCATGTTATTATGTGACATGTGAAAACAGCTAATTATTCTATTATCTATCAAATTTAATTTGTTCTACTTTGACTTGCTATATTTAACGTGGATCATATTTTTACAGTTTGTTGATTGCTCAAACCTTTTCTTTGTTCAAAATTGACATTTTTGCATACAACTCTCACAGTGTGTACAAAGTGAACTCTGTCACAGGATCTTCTTTGTCTTGCACAAAGTGGCGGAGGCAGGTGATTCATGTCTAAATGCCACTTGTGCTCACTTTCTGAGGAAGTCGATGAGGAAACTAAACAGGATGAAGTGCATCCTCCACATTGTCACAAACTGAACAGTGTGAAAGGTCGTGGTTCGTCATGTAGTGCTGACCTGCTGTCCATATGGTACCAGAAGGTGAGACAGGAGGCGCTGTCTCTGGGTACAATCCACTCTGACACAGCCTGAGAGACACTGCTGTGGGTTTGGTGCAGTGAGGAGCTCAACAAGAACTGACCTAAATGCAAAGATAAGAATTAGATGATTACGTTTTGCTGACACTTGCATTACCTGATTACTGCATTATCATTTAACGGTGCACCAACATGAGGGAATTATTTCCAGTGCAAGCTATCATCTGTGAATGCTCCACATTCTTTTTGGCTGTTGGAACCTTTCAAACTCTAAATGCATCATGATCAATGTCAGTAAGAGAAAGATACATATTTGATAATGATTTTGTAGCCTTCTCATTTTAAAGTTGCTTTTGTAGAACAGACATAAGGATATGATTTGTGGGGCAGGACGGATGTGATTTCAGCAACAGGACATAAGTCAGAGATAAAAACAGAAGTTAATAAGTAACAGACTGTCAGTTTAACAGCTGCTTATGTGGTGTAAATCAATCATTGATGGTTGTTGAGTTAATTAGTCAGCTAACTTTAAACCCAAATATTTCCTGAGGCTTGTCAAATGAACAAACGTTAATTATTCTGCAGAATGCTGGGATTTCTACTGCATTTGCCTTTCCATATATGTTTTATTATTTAAAAGTGGCAATAGACAAGTTAGGGTTCTTTTTTTGCTTGGTAGACTTACCACATCATTTCCCCCAAAGCTTTATTAACGATACAGTGCTAGATTTTCAATTGTTTAACCATTTCCTCTATCTTGGGATAGCTACCAATAGCGATTTCTTCTTTGGTTGTGCAAAGGTTGACACAGTTCCTTTGTGCCGTGTGTCGTACCCGTTGGCAGACAGAAATTTGTGGTGAATGACTTATGGGAACCAATTTAAACTCAGATTGTGTTATTGTCCTATAGCCACTACACTGTGCATTCAACATCTACTTCCTAATGATAAATTAATGCAAAAAAAACCCTATATAATTCCACTGTAAGGTACATCAAAGTTGGTACCCTGTGGGGTCTGAGTGGTGTGGTCTGTGGGCGGTCCCTGGGAGCCCCCATGTGCCAGCACCCAGTCGTGTCCATCTTCTTTGGGGATGTTGACCCAGGTGCACTGTCCGGACTCAAAGTCGCAGCTTCCTGGAGGACTGCAGGCCCCGTCCCTCACAGAAACATCATCTAACTTCACTGTAGCGATGGTGCCCGGCACATGATCTGCCTTAAACACCACCTGAAGAAAGATAACAACTGTTATAGGAAGTAGACCAATGGGAGACAGGGAAAAGGCAGTTTTATTGGCAGTAAGTGTGGGAAATAGAAAATTAGAAAAAGCTGCCTACACGGAATTGTGCAGGGGAGGACACAGTGACCTCTGCCACCTCCCAGCCTGCAGAGGGCGCTTCAGATCGTTGCCAAAGTGCATCCTCCAGCTCCTCGCTGCGCAGCAAATGCACGGCAAGGATGTTACTAGACCCCGCAGGTATCCAGTACCTGAACAAGTACAGCAGATGCACAACCATTAAATATGCATCAGACAACAGTGTATAAACGTAAGGCAGCACTAGACTCACCAGAAGCGAACACATATCTCTGTAGCTGAAATAAACTCAGGTGTGAGCAGCTGAGCTACCTCAGTCTGTGTAGAGTTGGATGTCATCCTAGTCATGTAGAAACCTAACACAAAGAGACAGGTCAAGTATCTACATTGTACAAATAGTAATCCTTTAAGACATCAAAATGTGATTATGAAACAGTTCTAGCTAGCTAATTTTAATCTAACTATCAAAGGACAAAGGTCTTCCACACTTCATATCCACGAAGTCTGAGTTGCTGTCAGCTAAATGGTAAATTTAAGTTATAAGTTCATCATCTTATTTTAGTGTTTTGGCATGCTAGCATTTGCACAAGGCTAGTTGGAAGTCGTTAGTTTCAATTATTTTAACAGTTGTGCAAATATTTCAATTTGGACGAGACGCAGTCAAACAACATTGCCATCTAAAGAGCTAGCATCTTACGTTCCAATTTATACTTGAATAGTCTTTTTTTAGGTTTAGTTATTAAAATACCAGAAGAAGTTTTTTCCTCCGGTTTCCTTTTTATGTTAATCATCTTGCTATCACTCAAAGTTATATTTAAACTGATTCCCAGATTTGGAACAGTCGCTCAAACAGATAACAACTTCATAATATTGCCTGATTTACTTTTAATTAACTAAGCATTAAAACCCTCATCTACATCACATGTGTCAAACTCAAGGCCCGGGGGCCAAATCAGGCCCTTGGTGGATTTAATTTCGGCCCGCAGGATAATTTTTAATTACTATTAGATCTGACCCGCCGGTATATTGCACGCACACCTTCACTCAATCCTGAGGGTTTCCTCAGCTCAGAGCCTGACCCCAAACATTGATGAACTTGCACCCAAGATGAGATGCCAAGTATCTGGCTTGAACTAGCATCACAGAGCAGCAACTGAGTTTAATGGATGTTTCCTTCTGCACTTTTTTTCTTGCGACAACAGGGCAGGTTTGGTTTTTTCTTTGAGGGAAATTGTTTTTTTGAAGCTGTTGTTGGCCTGTGGAAAAATGTAATCATAAGAAATGACTCTGCAGATAGAGCCATAAAAAATGAACGCAACTGATTATTTAAGGTTTAATGTTGTTTTTATAGGCAATAATTTAAGCTTTGTTAGTTCCAGGTTGAATATGTGCAATAAGTTCATTTCAATAAGTTTTGCAATAAACATTGAACCAGTCCGGCCCTCGACTAGTACCCATTTTTTAAATTTTGGCCCACTGTGTATTTGAGTTTGACACCCCTGATCTAGATGATTGCACTGCTCTTAAATCGCATAATTTGGGCATGAAGGTTGCTACTCACCATTTTCAGTTCCATAGGTGTGATCCACATGATTTTTTGTTCCTATTTCGCGAATCCATCGACCCTTATGACTGACATCGTTCTCAAAGTCACACCAATTTGAATCAAAGCCGCATAAATCTGAAAGGGGGAAAGAAGTTATAATGTATATAATCTATATGTTTGTTTTTCAGTGCTGTGAACATTAAGCAATGGGAGTCTGTGTTTACACACTCTGATTACTGCAGGCCCCCTCCCTCACTGTAATGTCATCAATGGCAATGAATCCTTGGCTGTTGGTGTTTCTATGGCCTCTGAACATCACCTGTAGATGAAGGAGAAAAACTTACAGCATTTAACAAAAACTATTATTTAACTTTTTGTACTCTAAAATATTGATATCAGGATAAAACATATACAAAATCGAAGCATGCGGGCAAGGATATGTGGTTGAGTTCAATTTACCCTTTTTGTATTGTTCATGTCGACTGTTACTTGTGCGTTAATCCACTCTGAGTTCTGGGTTCCGCGACGAGTCCAGGCTAACAGTTCAGAAGAAGATTTCTAAAACAAAGCAAACTATTATTCCTTTGAATGTATCAATGACTGTAACAGACGGTTTAAATAAGCTCTAACTAGGGTACATACTGTCTCAACCAGCAGGTCCAGGGTGGAGACAGAAGGCCCGAGCATGAAGAACCAGAATCCAACACAGAAACGTGATGAAAAATCAACGACAGGAACAGAGACGTCTGCTCTCTCGCCGTTCTTAGATCCAGATCCATTCAGCAGTAAGAAGAAGCCTTGGTGGACAATAAAACACAGAGAGGACTGCCAGACTGTGAGGAAACACTGAATACTGCAGCATGGTGCTACATCAGAGTATTCTGTCCATTTTATGATTGACAAGGCAGTTCAGCTGTTCCACAAAAATGTGCCGTTAGAAATAAATCCATTATTGGATTTCAAGGCGCTTTTCTTCTTCGATTTTAATAACAATTTGTAGTGGATGTTTGTAGCAGTTTTTCCTCTGTGTCTGTTTAATTGATGGTTTCTATGCCTGTATTAGATTTTTGTATTTGTGTTTTATTTCCGAAAAGCCTAACCAGGAACAATGTCTGCAAATAAGCTACGACTAGAAGACTAAACTGCGTCAGTTGCAACTAATTTAAGTCTTACAATACCCAACATGTTTTGTTTGAATCAAATAAACTCTAGACTACTATACTACTACTCTAGAAACTATAACATGATAAATAGTAGTAAAACACAAACATAAATCTGAATTATGTGCCAAATCTAGGATAAGAAAGGGTTAATGTTTAGGGTTGAAACTATCTGAAATATCGATGTTGATTTCAATATTTAATCATTAAAGGTGGGGTAGGTAAGTTTGAGAAACCGGCTCGAGATACATTTTTTGTTATATTCCATGGAATGCTCTTAACATCCCGATAGCAATGTCATCTGTGGAAGCCGTAATATTGTAAAAAGCACGACCAATCATCTGAGCCGGCCCGGCTAAAATAACTGGATGGCCTACCTGCCTGTCAGCCTTCCATCTGTGCACAAACTAATCTCGTGCCCTCATTGGTCATGTGCGCGTTCGTGTGTGTTGGAGGAGGGGCTCTGTAAGGAAGTAGCAGATTTCTTCCGGCTGTGTATTTTCTAATTCTAGCGCACTCAAGCTGGTTTCTCCAAAATTACCTACCCCACCTTTAAATCATTAAGTCCATGAAAAGTCTTAAAATGTCTTGTGTTGCCTACAAATCCTCAAATCTGATTTGTTTCTGCTTTAAAAAAAAGAATGACTAAAACAGTTAATCATGTTGATTTATATCTTGGGGATGTTTCTCTAGTCACAGCATATCTTCCTTGGACAAAAACACTGCGTTATCTAACACAAACAGTGCAATGTTTCACAGACAACTGATCCTATTTACAGCTCCTCTTTGGTTACATATCTTTTCAGGTATAGTTCAGTTCCTGTGTAAGCCTCCTTACAACTTTGGTGATTATTTTGTCAATATTCAATACCTTGCTTATTTTCAAGAGTGTGATCATACTGAGGTCCATCCCATGGCTCGTGCGCTTGAAGTCCGTTACTGAGAGTCCAGTTCAGATCATCATTGACCTCCTGGACCCAACTACATAGACCTGTTTCAAAAATTCTTTTTTAAATTCTTATTACTTAAAATACGACATTTGTAATAATAGATAATGAATACAAAATAGAACATTTGCTTGAAAGTATGCAAATATCCGAATGGCCTCAAGTAAAACTCAAAAACTTAATAGAGAGATCACATTAACATATTTAATTACAAAAGCTGAATTAGGCTAGGGTAGCTTAAAGTCTTCAGGTAGATTGTTCAGTTTTTGATTGAATTATTTTGGCCACAAGCCTTAACAACAAAATTAGAAGATTCCCCGTCCCTTGTTTTTCTTGGTAACCTTTTTCAAAAGTGCAGTCCATGGCGGAGGCAGGAGCGGTGGTTGTCGTAGTAACAGGGTTTGGAGTGGTGGTCGGGAAAATGTCATCACAAAACTGTCCTCTGATGATGTGGATATCGTCCAGGGAGAAGCTCGCGCCAATTGATTCGGGACAACTGGCTTGTAAAATAATCTGTAATGAAGAATGACGGTTAGTTCAGAGTTTTTACCTCATGCCACTTTATCAGGGTTTAATATGAAACAAGACATGTCACATTACTTGGTGAGGCCCTGATGCATTGTAATCCACCCTGTCTTGGTTCCACATGCCATTTAAAGATCCTCTTGTACTCCACACAGGACGCAGCCCAGCACTCTCATTCACAAACATTGTGAGGTTAATATCTGAGGGCCCTGGAAGCAACACAATTAATCATCAAAAGATTGAATTTACATTTGATGACAAAAACAATCATTTATATTCGTAGGATAATCAGATGTGTGATAAGGCATGCACATCAGAGCGCCAATGCAAAACCAGAAGCCCTCTTGTACCGCTTTCTCTGATTCTTGGATCCTTGCTGTTATTCATCAAACCATCCTACGTTTTTGGATATACATTTACCGTAATTTTCGGACTATAAAGCGCACCTGAATATAAGCCGCAGCAGCTAAATTGAATGATGTGTACATATATAAGCCGCACTGGACTATAAGCCGCAGGTGTTTTAATGTTTAATTACCATATGTAAGGGTTCGTGCACAGAGGGGATTGTCGGGAAAGAGATGGCTGTTTGAGGAAGCTCCCATTTATTAACATTTCAACAAACAAGTTGCATATTTGCATAACGTATTCAAGTGTTACCATTTAGTGCAATAGTAGCTACAGAACATGTACTGTGCTGTGTAAACTGTACTGTATCACATAGCGTTTCAGACACACAAACTTTTCAACTTTCAAACTTAGGAGAGGTTACGTCTTCTTTGTGTTATAAGATAGGACTGGCAGGGTCAGTCAAACCTGGTCGTTATCCCGCGGAGCTCCTGTCCCGGTCCCTTGCGCTCTCTCGGCCCGGTGTCTACAGGGCTAGCCCGAGGATCCCCCGCAGCTAGCAACAGGCCTTCAAAACAATGTTAGAGGCGCTCCTGAAACAGCGTCAAAACGGGTATATTTCCCGGGCTTTAATATACGCTTTGTTTCACTCGTTTGTTGTTTTGTTCCTCCGTGTTTTCAGAGCAAGTCGTCGGAGCTGTAAAAATCCATAGATTAGCCGCACCGTTATATAAGCCGCAGGGTCGAAATATGGGAAAAAAGTCGCGGCTTATAGTCCGAAAATTACGGTAGTTAAAGTGCACCTATCATACTATTTTTAGGCAATAGCATAGGTCTCAGATATATACAAATATATAAAAAACATCTCTATGAAGTGTTTTGCTCAAAATACCAAACAGATCACCCATTCTAGCCATGCCTCATATCCCTCTATTTCACTTCCTGTTTCAAAAGTGCTGATTTTGGGTATAAAGCTTAAAAAAAAAAAAGAATTGATAAAAAAAAAAGGAAGGGGTTGAGCTCACGCGGGACCCGGCAGCTACTGTCTAAACTAAATACTGCCGTGATGAAACGCCATATCATGGATTATCAAGGATTATTTCTGAAACAGTATGGAGCTCAAAGGCTTTCGCTCTTGCCGGTTATACCACAAGGTGAGTTCCTTTTTATTTCCTGCTTCTTCAAACACATGCTCTCCAGTACAGGTTAGCTCTGAGTGTTAGCGATGCTAATGTAAACACCGACCATATTACGTCCAAAACAGTCGGGCATTGTTTCTGATAGCAACTTTCTGATAGTGCCGTGGGTCCACATTTCCGATATTACGTCATATCGGACGCAAATCTGGATCAGCTCCTGACACACCGGGGACACATATGTATGTATAAAAGACATCAAAAAGTGCATTTTGCATGATAGGTCCCCTTTAAGTTCAATGCACAATGGAAGTAAACAGTAGTGGCTAGATGGAGAATTGCATTGATTGAAACTGCACACCTTTGTTTTGTTGTTACTGTTATTTGTTTTTATCCAAATAACAATCATGATCATTGAAATTATAAAGATTTCTAACTTGCTGCCTTCTCTATCCTCTCTTTCTAACCTGGAGATTTTAACATGCTTACTGATGCTGTCATGTATCTCACTTAAGGTCAAATCAATTCAGCTCATTTTTTATACAGGGGTTAAATGCATGCTTGTAGCTGCTTATGGTCCCCTCTTTCTCCACATTTACCGTTATGTCAAATTATAAAAAAGTTTAAATAAAGAATTAAAAGACTGTTCTTACCATTTGGGGCCCAACCTTCGACATAGTGCCAGATCTCCAGGCAAGCTCGGTTTACTGCCTCCATCGTCTCACTCTCCAGTTGGGCAGTTTCTCCTTTCGTATTGTCAGACGGCTGGAAGAATGCAAAGTGACCTGTAGAGGGTTCAAAGCAACATAAACAATCCAGAAGAATCATTTCCAACAGTGTCCTGCACATAGGTTGTTGCATGATTCACATTTATAGAAGGTTAATTTGTCATCTAAAGACTGAGTGGCGGCTTAAAGTTTGAGAGCATAAAGGCAGTCGCTTAGCCCACTATATTCCCGAATGGTCTTTAGATTTCAACCCTGTGACCTATTTACCAAATGGCGAGTTTTCCGCAGATGTTTCCTCCTATACAACAAAAGTCGGACCTGGCAAGTACTTCCAGAGGGAGATTCTCTCCGCCACACTCCCCCCACCCCCCTTGCCTAAACCGCCTCCATTGGACTCCTTTGTTTACTTCCTTACCATATTGACATCACTGTGTTACATTCGTGCTTCTATTGGCTAGCGCTTCAACACATTGTACATGACAGGCTGAGGGGCGGGAAATAATAGCGGTGGACCAATCACAACAGAGCCAGCCAGCTAACCAATCAGAGCAGACTGGGCTCTGGTTTCAGACAGAGGGTGAAAAGAGGTGCTGCAGCACATGAGGAAAATAAAGCACTTTTTAAACATTACATGTCACAGTAGAGGCACAAAATACAAATATGAAAACTGAAAATTAGCACAACAGGACCCCTTTAAGTCGGTAGTATAAATTAGTCAGGTGCATGCATGAACATTTTAGGTAACTTCCTCCCGCTCATACTGTTTCTATAATAATCATGCAGCTAGTTAAATTTGTTTATTTTTTCTCACCTAAAGCAGAATTTGTGGAGTGGTCCTTATTTGGAATAAAGTTACCATCGCTGTCACCTGAGAGCCAGTCCCAGTCCAAACCGGACTCTGCAGGACGATTATTCACCCAACCACAGAAGTCCATCTCAAAGTCACAAAATCCTGCAAGGGATAACACATATAGTTTGCAACATACGTGCAATATGAAAAAAAACTAGCTAAAAACAGGTCACTAACCTTCTGCGGGACAGGCGCCATTCAGAACTATGAGGTCGTCAATGGCGATATCTCTCCTTGGTTCAACCCCAACCACAGCTTCAAAAACCACCTGTCACTCAGACACAATGCATTTGAACTTGTTAAACAACCTGTTTTATTTCCACATGGCTTTGTGTTTAACATAGGAACAGTATGACTGAGAGAGTGCAGCCTTCAGGAAAAGCTGAGCTCAATGAAATAATCGACACTTATTGTTTTCATGTGAGACAAAGTTACAGAAGGCAGGCGAAAAAGGTATAAATGTACGTGCATGAGTGTGGAAACAGAATAATATATAGTTATAAAATAATTTAAAGAATGTTGTAAGATGCTTTTTTGCCCAGATGTAGCAATAGTTTATTTACCAGTCTTTACCTGATATCTAACAAACCAAGTACCTGATACGTTGCACCAGAACTGAGTGTCACTCGTGCGTGCCTCCAGTGTTTTCCCTGATCTCCATTTCTGCTCCAGAGCTCTTCACTGTTTCCGTCAGCAGTTTGAAGGAGAACATGGAGATCCCCCACTCCACTTCCCTCCATGTAATACCAGAACATTAGGCATTCCCCGTCAGCAGGGGTGGGCTCCATCACTGCAGTCATCACCGCAACTCTGGACCCAGCAGGCTGATTCCACAGCTGGGCACTCAGGTAATAACCTGCACAGTGAGGGCGGAGTTATGCACACGCTGATTCATTTATTTATATATGCATGTACGTTTGAGCCTGGGATCACACAAAGTAATGTAAACCTTTTTCCAATAAATGAGTTAATTATATAAAAAACAAAAGCATACAAGATCTGACGAGATTATAGTCAATTTCATCAGTTCATCCCCTTTGATATTACATCTGAGTAACAAAAAAAGGGATTCCCTAATGTACCAGTTTTTGATTTGTGTTTATTACCTCTCTTTTTCAGGTTTCAATCTTTAAGCAAAATTGATACTGGGGATAGTGAATGTAAAGTCGACCCTATCCCCATCCTTCATAGATTCTTTGTTTGGAGGAACTCTGAGCAAACATCCAATGACATTAACACTACTAATACGACACTTCTCTTGTTGAAAAGATAGTCAGCTGAGCATACAGTATATCTCAGTGAGATGCAAACCTTGTTCCGTCCCCAGAGTGTGATCTGTGGCTGGGCCTGAGATGTTGGTAGGCTTCGACCCCCCCATGGAGCGGCTCCAGCTGGAGTTTGCAGACGGCCGAGGCAGCATGCCGCACAGCGAGCCCTGGAAGGTGCACTCTCTCTCAGCCGGACACGAGCCGGTCTCACTTCTGTACACCTTCAGGTCATCAATGGCTATGCTGCCTTGGGTACCTCCCACCACAGCTTCTATAATAAACTGAAGGACATACATTAATTGAGAAGGTTTCACCATAACAAAAGGTTTAAATGACTATTTACATTTTCAAAATGGGTTAGAACAGCGGTTCCCAACATGGGGGACGCGGCCACAAAGGCATTGCAAGTGGGCCGCCAAATAATTAGCAAACCATTATAATTTGTTTGGAAACATTTTCATTATTAAGATTTTTTTTTATTTGAACCTCCTTTTCTTTCTCTTTCTCGATCCTCCTTAGCAACGGTCATTACAGTCCTTGACAGCGGTCTGATCTACTGGATTAACAACGTGTCACATGTTCTGAATTGACCAATCAGAACTTTATTTCGCCTCTGTATTATTTATGGTTGAATGTGGGCCGGAATTTATTTTAGATTCTCAAGTGGGCCCTGAGTTAAAAAAGGTTGGGAACCGCAGGGTTAGAAAGTTAATAAGACACCAAACCAAATTGAAGCTTAACATTCAATAAGAAGAAACACTTATATTTGTTACATGAAACAGTGAGACAGTAATACAAATAAGAGGCTTGTGTTTTAAAATAGGAAAATGTATTTGCACAGGTTTATACTGTATATTGGAAATTCTCCAACATGTCTTAAACATCTCTTTACAGTAAATACAATTTCATTCTGAATAATTCTCTAAAATATATATGTATATATTATATCAGCAGATGAATATATATCAGAAATAATAATTGTACCTGTATTGGTTTGTCACTGTCGAAGGTAAGATCAGCGAATCTCCATTTGTTTCCCTGGGTGCCACTTCTCATCCATACAACCGTCTCCTCTTCACCAGAACGCTTTGTAATAAACTTCAATGAACCTGATAACAACAGAAGATCAACTAAGCTTGTGCATTTGTAGGATGCATGGGAATTATTAAGAGAAAAGGCAAAAGATGGTTGAAAATGAGCTGAATGTTGTGGATCTTGGGATGTAGCTTTTGACCTCTGGATTTAGTTTAGTTTAATTCAATATTATTTATTTAAACATTTTGTAAAAAAGACAGTGAGGCACGTACCAATGCTGTTGCCAAATATGTGGTACAAGAAGCTCACACATGTCACGTGACCTTCAGGTTGAGGGAAGCTGATGAGTCTGGCTGCTGATGAGATGTTCAGGTTGTATTTAGCAGATATGAGCATGAAGTAGCCTGAGAAAGAAGACATGAAAAAGAGAAAAAAAAAACATGTTACACGTTAAAGAGTAGGCAATATCCTAAGCAGACTGAATATAAAAAGTCTCTATCTGAATTACCAGATAATAATACATTTTATGGACAGTTCAAGACTTTAATGCAGTTGTGTTAGTTAGTTAGTTGCCATTTGATTTTGGTTAATGGGCACACTCTTTGTCCCTTTTTTTTCATCCTGTATTATATTTATTTATTATGGATAGATAGTACCAAGTATCATAATGTGTTAATTAATATGTTAATAGTTTGATGTTAGGTTACAAGATTCAGGTGTTTTTATTACAGAAAATACGATCTGAGCAAAATATGTTTTGCAGAATGAAACCCTAAAAATTGCCACTTACAGCTCTTCTTGTTAATGTACTAAAGTGTCGTTATCTCTTGATGAATTTGCACAAATTCTAAGCAGTAAGTCCATTTAAATAGAAACAAGCAATGTCCCTGAACCCCTGGTCAAGAAAAGCTCCAGGTCCACTGCAATTAAACTTCAGTAATTTAACTTTAAGCATCACTAATGCGTATTATAAACTCAAATGAAACAAACACCTGCACGATCCTTGTAGAGTTTATATAAGATAAGATAATATGTACTTTATTGATCCCAAATTGATTTGATTTATTTATTTGGTTCATTTCACTAAAACAAGTCACAAGTCATTTTAAAAACAGAATGATTGTATACCGCCAGTAGAGCACTCACCCTTCCTAGTTGGTTCCCTGTATGCCCCATTTACCCGTCTCCACAGAAGGCTGGCAGTGTGGTCGTGGTACCATGAGCAGGTGTCCTCTTCAAAATCACATGAGAGTTGGTGTGATCCTGCAGGGACGTCTCCCTCTGCACAGTTCTCAAACATGACATCGTCCAACATAACGTCTATGTCCATGTCCATAAATTGAGGTTGGAAGGAAAACTGCAACTGTGTAAAGAAAAATGTTTTGCTCTACATTCATTCTGAAACTCAATAATTCAGCTGATTTTGGGAGAGGCAGATTGCTAAAATTACCAAGATTAAATAATAAATTCCTCAGAACAAAAAAATAACTGTTAGAATCTTCTGAACAGTACAAAGCACCGAAACAATTTGATTTCTTTGTACCATCCGGCCCACGTTAGCTTTGTCTGTATGGCAACACAAATGTATTGTGTAAGATGTCCCAGAGATTACAGGACGCCAAATAAAATAATTAAACCATTAGGTGCATTTTTATTGATCCGCCAGGGGACAAAACAGGAAACTGTTTACACAACAAAGTTTATAGGTACAATAAAGTTAATAATTTGGAGAGCTACACCATGAATATGAATATGAATTAAATAAAATCTAGACACTGATAGAATTTAAAGGTAGGGTAGGTAAGAATGGAGAAACCAGCTCGAGTGCGCTAGAATTTGAAAGTACGCAGCCGAAAAAAATCTGCCCCTTCCTTCAGACTTCCTTACAGAGCCCCTCCTCCAACACACACGAACGCGCACATGACCAATGAGGGCACGAGATAAGTTTGTGCACGAGATGGAAGGCTGACAGGCAGGTAGGCCATCCAGTTATTTTAGCCGGGCCGGCTCAGATGATTGGTCGTGCTTTTTACAGTACCACGGCTTCCACAGATGACATTTTTTTATGTATTTATTGTCAAAGCATTTAATATATTCATTGCTATCGGGATGTTAAGAGCATTCCATGGAATATAACAAAAAGTGTTTCTGAAGTGAATTACCTACCCCACCTTTAAGTGCATTAGTAAAGCTAAACTACTAAAGGTCCCATTGTTTTTCATGGCTTACTTTATATTTGGCAGACAAACATGCAGAAAGTTGTGTTACGACAGTTCCCAGAATGCTTTGAGGATATGTGGAGATAACATATCATGTTGCATCTGATGCAGGAACGTGTGTAGGCCCTATTATTTTAGGAATGTATTTTTTTTCATTTTGGCAAATAAGCACAATTAAAGTATGCAGATTAGTTACTTGACTATTTGCAAAGTACTCATGGATGTGCGGACGACTATATTATGTGATGATTCTCAGGCAAGTTCTGCATGAGTAAGAAGCTTCTTGGTTTCTATGATTTCTTAGCAGATTTATGGACAGTTTGAGATGATAATGTCTATTATTAGTCTAAAAACAAACAGTATATTTGACTAACCTTGTATCCTCCTGGCTGATTACCGATGAAAGCTGTAGCCTTCTCCCAACCGTCTGTCTTACTTTTAGAGCTGTGCAGCAACTCTTGCATAGGGAGGCTTCGGATCATGTTGAGTTTAAGGGATGAGGATGATGATGATGATGAGTTATTGTAAAGGTAGTACCAGAAGCTGAAAAACAATGACAGTCAAATAAAAAAACTGGCACCAGCTATCACATGCTAAATGACAAAAGTTGAAATGCATTGTCATTTAAGAACATATCCTTTTGTAGAACACATATGACACATAACCTTTTAAAAGAAGGGGAAATGTATTGTTTTAGTACCTGATCTGGCATCCCAGAGCTGCCAGGTTGTCAACAAAGTACTCCAAATAAGCCGTAGAAAAGCCTCTTTTGCCAACTACATGCATGACATGTCCTGAATCCAACCGACAAACAATATTAAGAACATCAACAATCATGCTATCTAATTAACATTTGTATCCCACAATTAAAATGTCAATATATCCATATACAAATAATTTTCCACAAAGTAATAAAACAAATGACAAACGCCAGTAGTTTAAGAATTACCAGAGGCATTTCCTGTGCTGTGGTCCAGTCCAGGTACTGAGGTGATGTTTGCCATTTGCCGTCTCCAGCGGTAAGAGGCAGTACTGCTGCTGCCGTCCCAACCACAGCAGTGATGCTCAAAGTCACATGACCCTTAACAAGAGAGAAGGGGTAAGATTACACAGCAGGATTTGGAAAAACTTGTCCATGCATTTATCTTCAGTAGACTCGATTACTGTAATGGTGTCTTTACAGGTCTCACTAAAAAAATCTATTAGAAAGCTGCAGCTGATTCAGAACGCTGCTGCTCGAGTCCTCACTGACACTAAGAAAGTGGATCACATCACTCCAGCTCTGAAGTCTTTACACTGGCTTCCTGTGTGTCAAAGAATACTGCTGCTGGTTTATAAAGCTTTGAATGGTTTAGGCCCAAAATACATTTATGATCTCCTGCTAAATTATGAACGATCCAGATCTCTCAGGTCTTCAGGGACTGGTCAGCTTTCTGTCCCCAGAGTCAGAACTAAACATGGAGAAGCAGCGTTCAGTTATTATGCTCCAAATATCTGGATCAAACTCCCAGAAACCTGCCGGTCCGCTGCAACTCTGACTACTTTTAAATCCAGGCTGAAGACTTTTCTTTTTGCCGCTGCTTTTAATTGATATATAATATTCATATCTCACACTGCACTGTAACTTTTATTCATGTATCTTTGTTATTCATTTTTTTTTATCTTTGCTTTTAAATGAGTGTTTTTAAATGCCATTTTATAATATGTTTCTTAATGCTCTTAATGTCTTTCCTTTTTGTAAAGCACTTTGAATTGCATTATGTTGAAAGGTGCTATATAATAAACTTGCCTTGCCTTGCCTACAAATGGAAAGTATCCAAAGGTTTTGTGAAATAATTCAAAAGCATTCTTGTTCCCAGTATTGTGTTTGTATTCTGTTTTATTGTATTTATTTTTTGCTTTTTTAGAAGACGAATAAATAATAATTTAAATGTTAAACTCGTGCTATTTTTGACGCTATTGATCCCTTAGTGAACTTCACAAGCTTTCTGGCAGTATATATGGTTTAAAAAAACATAAACTCATCATTAACCAAATAACATTTGGACAACAAATATATTTTTATGCTGATATTTTTGTACTTTTACTGCAGGTATTACAGGAGTATCTCTACACTGTGATATTACTACCTTTACTTAAGTTAAAGATCTGAGTACTTCTTCGACCACTGGAAAGATTTAACAAGACTTGAAAAACTCAGCGTACCACAAAACCCTTCGTCTGAGCCATCTTCACAGTCCTTTTTAAAGTTACAGACGAGTCCGGCAGGAAGACATTCTCCAGATGTGCAGTTGAACCCCCCGTCAGGATAAGATGATACGACCACCAACAATACTGTAAAGAGAGTTTTATTACGAAGAGATAACAAGAAAATCATCTCGGGGGGCTTGCAAAACACCTTTGACTTTAAACTCAAACTTTACACCTCTTTTTTAACAGGCATGCACAAGATAATGTACACCAACAATGGCAGGGGGGATGTGGAGAAAATAAAATATAATTATATTTTTGACCAAATATCTTGATTTCAAGATTGTGACAATATAGTGAAGTTGACTGTTTTCGATAAATCAAAATCAATAAAGTGGTTAAAAAAACAACACCATTAGACTGTTATCAAGGCCATCAAAACTCAGACACATAAGCAATACTTCAATATATATATATATATATCTAAGAGGATATCTGGTTTCAAATCACAATATCAAAATATGGCCAAGCCTAAGAATACCTTTAATATATTATGTCCAGCTATGATGACCCTTACCTGACAGCAGAACACATATTTGCTTCATGTCTGGGGAAACAAACCACAAGGCAAGAAAATCCAAAGAAAATGAAAGATCCTTAAAGTGTGATCATAACCCCAGCTAACCCTCTGATAAACAGTTTGTGACTGTTTTACTGGAGAGACGCTTTTATACCAACAGTTGAGCTGAGGCTGAGAGTCCTTATCGGTAGACCCTTAAGGCTTAAAGTCCACAGGGTTCTCAGTAAAGTGTGATACATTTCCGTGGCTCGTCTTTATGACCCTCATTGCACGTCTCATTCATTTAGAACTACCGACAGTGATGTTACGTATCGTAGACGAAGTGTTTTGTAGGTAAAAATATGAATGTGGGTTAACTTTGACATACAGTGAGGGAGTCAGTTTGGATTTGAATCTAAAAAAAGACACACACACATGAAAATTCAAACGTATAGCACTTCATGTAATTTATATTTCTACCTTTACTTAAGTTAAAGATCTGAGTACTTGTTCGACCACTGGAAAGGTTTAACAAGACTTGAAAAACTCAGCGTACCACAAAACTCTTCGTCTGAGCCATCTTCACAGTCCTTTTTAAAGTTACAGACAAGTCCGGCAGGAAGACATTCTCCAGATGACATTCTTACACTTCATGTAATTTATGAGTTTTCATTCAAATGAAGACGGTTAAGCTCTCATTGTTCGTTACCCTCACATTACTGGGTCATGTTTGTGATAATGACCTGCTTTAATGGATCTTATCGGATTTTCCAACTGGGAGATAAAAATATCTGCATGTTCGAGTGTCAGTGTATGAGGTCAACACGTATAAGTAGGAGTGTATGAGGTCCATTATGAGAAGGAGTGTGTGAGGTCAACCACTATTCTGCATAACTGAGAGGGAAAGAGCAATTCATTTAAACTGTGTTTATAAGCCATGTAGAAAAGTACTTTAGTAAGCACAGGCTTAAAAACCTCATTAAAAGGACCTTGATAAAAACACACTGCAGACTTGAAGGCAATGTATTTCAAATGTAATGGCGTTTTTCTTGGTCAATGGTTCACCCTTCCACCAAATTTCATGGAAACCATGCAAGACGTTTTTTTTTTTAAATCCACTTGAAAACACAAAACCAAACCAACAACATAATCTCCTTGGTGGAGGTAAGCAATATTTTATAGGCATTTGGTTAAATGTGCAGATGAAGCTTCTTGAAGAAACAACATATAACCACTTACTTTCTATCCCATAAACATAATCTTTCTCTTTCCACTTCAAACGAATATGTCCCATCAACCTTCTATATCGTTTACAATGTTCGATGCACATGTTTTCTTTTTTTTGCCACAAAAAGCCATTGTTAATTACAAATGTGAGTATAATGCAGAATACAATTGCACTAGTCCTACTTGTAAGCCTTGTAAAAAAAATCACTGCAGTCACAAAGGTTAATATTTCAGCACAGTCCTGAAAAAAGGAGAATAACCAAAGAGGAAGTGAAAATATAAAATGCTATGATATATGTTAAGGCACGTTTGGAGAACAGACCTCAACATCTGAAGGCCTCTGCCACTAAACAGGATATTGTGTTGCTACATTCAGGATGCACATTTTTTCTCTTCATCAGCAAAAGTGCAATATATCTCTGCTCTAATAACTTTACAAGTAATCTTGTGCCTCCTTATAGCTATAATAAAACTTCTAGTGTTTAGAAAATACAGTAAAATAGTGACTTTAAGCAGTGTTTAAATGCAAGCATACACACTTCAAATGTAAAAGTCAGCTCATTGTTTGGTATGACAGCTGGAAGGTCAGTAGGGTGTTGCAAGGTAGAATTAAGTTGTTGCTATCATTTAGCTAACCAGTCGTTTATGATTACAAACGTGTTTTAATTTATGTTTTAATGACACAGATACACTGGCTTAACCATTGCAACAGTATTATGAAAAAAAGAGTATTGCTGCCCAATATTCATCGTCATAATCGTTATGGTAAATTCAATTTGTGCGATAAATATTGCAAAAGACTGCGATACTATGCTCAGAGATTGTTTGAGGGATACAAATTGTCAGTAGAAAACTGTACTTTTTTATTGGTACCTTTTGTGTTAGATTCATGTTGAATTTGTTCATATTTGGAACTAGTTTCGCTTGTTTATCCGCAGGGCAGACCAGATACACAGAAGGTGTACATAAGATTCAATCATGCTATCAACAGAGACACTGGATACTTTCGGCTATAATCCTGCAAACGTATCATCTCCTAATATGTTTTTTTCTTTATAGTTTACAGATATACATTTCATCCCCATTTTTACATTAAAATGCAAGGAAAGTGACACAGAGGGACAGGTCCTAAATGGCAGAAACCATGAAGGTGCAATAAAGTCTTTGATGGTGGAAGCTGCACCAGACCACAGACCCCCGACATTGATGAGTCATGTTTAGCATAAATCTCTTACACATCATTTTCTTCCACGACAGGAAGTAAATGGGGCCACATTTTGCGATTTCTGGAGTTTGAGATCCGTGCAAGCAAGACAGTGTGTATGTGTGTGTGTGTGTGTGTGTGTGTGTGTGTGTGTGTGTGTGTGTGTATGTATGTTTGTGTGTTTTCTGAATGTTGCCCCTACTTCCCTCCCAACCCCCCTTTTTTACCAGTAGCAAAATGTTGAAATGTGCAGAAGCAGGAAAAAAGCTGACAGTGACAGTAGTATTAAGATTCCCTCCTTTTCATGTACATGCTCATAAGTCCTCTGCTTGCAATGCGTGGACACTGTCTGCGGCTCTGAGACTTATCAGGAGAATGATGACCCGGAGGAGAACGCTAGCAGCCTTTTTGCTTTTCATCACAACATCTCAATGTTCAATGAGAAATGGTAAAGTATGCACTCAACTTCTTTTATGTCACATATTCTGTATGTAAGGACTTACTTATTCTTTCTTTATATACATTGTTGACATCTGTGAGCTGTCAACGTGTGTCTTTGTACGGATGTAAAGATTAGCAACCTTCATACGTTTGTTTTACTGAAAATTAGTTTAATTTAATTTAATCGTTTTTTCATCTGCTTCGCGACGAGTTAAAACATTACATTACATTACATTACATGTCACTTGTTAGACGCTTTTATCCAAAGCGACTTACATACTCAATACTGTAGGCAATCCCCACAGGAGCAATTTGGGGTGAAGTGTCTTGCCCAGGGACACAACGACATGCTGACTGCAGTGGGGTTTGAACCTGTGCTCCCCCTGATCCGAACACCAACGCACTAGTCCACTGCGCCACAGGCTCCCCAAAACTAATGCTAAAACTCATTAAAAGTATTTGTTGAGACTACAGCTGACAGTGTTAAGGAGGCTCTGATGGCATCTGTAGTCTTACATAATAAAACTGAAAAACAATGTTTTGAAGAGAGAGTAGCTCAAGTTGAAAAGAAGAAGTCTCCAATTAATTATTTTTTATGAAGCTTTTTACTTTTTAGTTTTTCCAATTTGGAAAAAAACAAGTTCTTTGACCAACTTTGAAGTTAATGCTTGTGCCTGTTTTCACATCTCTCTGCAGATTCCCCATTTGCACTCACTAACAAAGCCACTGCTTCGTGTTTGGTAAAAAGATCAACCCGCTGCCTTGAAGTGCGCTGGACGACTGGTGATCGTCTTTTTGTTACCTCAAACAGAAAGTGCCTTGGTGCTCAGGGCAAAAATGTGGGGAGTGAAGTGAGCGTCTACGATTGTAACGACAGTGACCTACAAAAGTGGGAATGCAAGAATGAAACACTGCTTGCCCTCAAAGGCCAATCGCTCTACATTGAAGTCAAACCGGATGATTCAATTGCTCTCTCCAGAACTGTCGGGCCCAATAACAAGTTCACCATCACAGGGACAGCCAGCGGTGCTTGTTCAAGAACATACAGAGGTACAGTATGCAAACTGAACAGCCAAACCCTATAATAAACAACACAATACAAAATCCCAGTAAAAATCATGCATATTTGTGTCAGTCGATGTATAGTAAAGTAGAATGATGCCACATGTTTCTTCTCACTAGAGTTTGGCTGTGATTGACTGAAGTAAATTGAGTGAAGAGAAGAGAAAACATTTCAAGACGATTTCATTTGATCAACCTCTTGATTCCCTTTTAGAACTTTACACCCTTGAAGGCAATGCGTTTGGGAAGGTCTGCATGTTTCCCTTCATGTACAAAGACCGGTGGTATGGAGACTGCATTACATACGACTCCTCGGTAAAGCGTCTATGGTGTGCAGTTGAAACAAAATATGAACATGAACGGTGGGGATACTGCCCTACTAATTGTGAGTACTACATTTCATTTACAACATTACATGCATCTTTAGGCAGATTCATTTTGGTTTCAGAGAACATATTACATGATGATATTTTTTACGAGTTGATGTACACTAGTTTAATCAACATAACCTGATGCTAAACACAAAGCATGCAATGTGAGAGCTCACTTTTAGGTTAAAAAGTGATTAATTGTTGCTCTTTTATGTTACTGTGTTGATGAACAGCCAATGCAAACTGGGCGAAGAACATTGTCACAGGAGCGTTTTACCAGATCAACACACAGTCGGTTCTGACTTGGGCCCAGGCTGAAGCCAGCTGCAAACAGCAGGCGGCCAACCTGGTCAGCATCATAAACCCTCACGAGCAGGCGTTTGTCTCAGGTAAGATACCACCTGGTGGATGGTGCAGATTCATACTGACCCACCATAGAGTGGTCACTTTGTACATGTATCATCTCACATGGGTTAAATGGTCTGTTGTTAAATAAAAAAAAAACTTAAATTATCTTAACATGTTCAACTTTTTGACATACAGTCTAGCAAAATTATGTTTAATGCATCTATTCTAAGTAAGGAAAACATGGCCAGTATTTGTTTCAGTAAGATACTCTGTAAGTTTGGAATCTTAAGATTTTGTTTGAAAATAAGTTTTTCCAAATGACATTTACTTTTCAAACCACTGAAATTGTTTTATTCAATTGCACATTTCAGACATGTTGTTATTTTGTTTAGGGGGAAAACAAGAAACCAGTGATACAATGACTACCAGTAACCAGTAGTTCTAGGAAAAAAGGCCTCCAGAACATTATGATCAGCCTCATGTTGGTCCAAGGG